AACTCTGCCAAACTGTATTAATAACTCGTCAAGTTGGCAAACACGATTTCATTTTATGCTATACTTATTAATGGGCTGGGTTTTGTGATATCAACTTCAGATGGATTGTTGTCTAAGTACAACTGGAGATTGATAGTACCACTATTATTCAGTTTTCTAAGAACCAAAAACCAGAGTTCCTTAGAACTGATAAGCACCAAAATATGTATAAATGTTTAGCAAAGTCGACACTTTAAAAGTCAACATATAGTTGGTAACCAACATGGAGAAAGCAAAAAATTTTCAGATGCAGCCTAAAGGTTAAAAGAGTGCACTCGGGCCTTTTTGATGCTAATAGCAAAGCTATGACGCATCATGAACATGAAATGAAATAGGATATTGGATGGGAAGGTGGTATGAAAATATCTTTAAAAGTAGCCAGTACAGTAATTACGTTAGGCCTTGCAAGAAGGGTGTAATGTTCCATTATGCAATCAACGTGTAGTATAAAAAACGTAGAACTATATAAGAAATAACCACATACAAAAATACAACAGATACATGAATTTAATGAGCATTAAAGTATAAAACGGCCTTGCAGAAAACAGTTTTTATTATTATCTAAAATCACAGCTACGTTTAAACACAAAATATACCATACACGAACACACATATAAAAAAATAAAGTGCACAGTGGCAAAAATTATAACATTTTCATTTGTGATAGTCAATTAGCATTAATGAATAAAACAAAGTTTCATCACTTTAGATTGAAATTCTAGAAAAGGATCAAATGCGCTTAATTAAGAAAACACAATTCACTTCGTTCGACATCGCTTATCAATTGTAAACAAAAGCGTGTTGCCAATCCAACTAACTAAAAGCCCAGTTGTTGAAAAAAAATGGAAAAGTCGCTTAAAAATTTAATTTTAAAAAATCTAAAGGGAATTTCAAAAAAAAAAAAAACCCTTCGTAGTGCACATTATCAGAACCTAGAATAATTATGTGCCAAGTTCTATACTTTTGGGTTGCTTAGTTTGGGCGGTAGAGGTGAAACACACACACTTATCTTCTGTTTTATTAAAAAAAAAAATATACATTATTTAATAAGTACACCACACACTTTTAGACTTACTCCTGTCTGAACGTTTTCTCCTTTTTAGGTATCCTGAATAAAACGTTTCACTCATTTCTACTCATATCTAAAGCAATATTAACGCTAGCTCATTCGAAATTTTTGCTTAGGTATAACAAATGAATTCGCTGTCATTTTAGAAGTTTTCACCCCTGTTTAAGAAAAAAAAAACATAAATAAAAAAATTTCAGTACTAACGCCATAATTTTTGGAACCCCTTTAGATTATTAGACAAGTTGTCAGTTACATTAAAACTAAAATGTAATAACATTTTTCCTTTAACTTACATGAAATTATATAAAAAAAATATGACTTACCTTGGGAAATAAATTTCGTAAGAACTATTCAATTTCTTCCAAAATTTTCCTTGAAAGAACACATTAATACACTTTCAAATTAATAAATAAAAATTACGACAAAGGTTATTCACAAAAAAAATAGCAAAATTAAAATGAAGGTTGAGTGTGGAAAATCTGGAAGCGTGGAGAAATGCAAAGTCCTACATTGTATGATTTTCAAGTATAAAATGATTGTTGCGTTTTTTTTATTAACACATGGTTTGGGACTATACACTTTGGCTTTTTTCACCCTTTTTGTACCTATTAAGGTTAGGAAAATGCCTTCAAAACAATCAAATAATAACCTGAAGTCAAGGTTTTTGAAATAAGAAAAGTACGCGAAATCTATTCGAAAGTAACAAAAACTGTAACAGAGAGAGAACTGACGCTAAAACCCTAAAACATTCCCACTGTAAAGAAAAAGAAAATAAAAAAGCATTGGGAGAGTTATTAGAAGCGCGAATGTTTTATATCAAGTGGAAATTTTACGAGCGATTTGTTGACATTTCGATTATCCCCTCACAGCTGATGAGCGAAATACCAAATCCAGGAAGAACATAAACAAACTGAAGGTCAGGTTACCTCTAGCTATATGTTCAGTTTCAATATAATTGACATAGGGTGCCATCTAGTGGTCATTAAAAAACGTTCCAGCTGAAAAGTCATATATGCATCGCCCGGCCAACAAGAGCGCCTTTCTAAAATGCATATTTGCACTGCCCGTCGTGAAGGGGCTAAGTTAGGCTTAGCGACGAAATCACCCCGTCCTGAAGAGGTTAATAATAATAAAATAATCAACTGTAGCGAAATTAAAAATCTTGTAATTTTGAGATGGGAAAAGAACTATTTTTGAAAAATCCAAGAATACACATTACATACCAAGAAGATTCCTTTCAAAGGAAAATACCTCCCAGTTTTTACGAAAGGTATATTTTAATCTCGATTAGAAGAAACTGTACGATTGAAAACTGTGTTACTATGAAACTTGAAGAATTTTCTCACTCTCGTACCTATAATAAATTTGAGATTTATAGTGAGTGTGTTTATTAACGTTGATATTAAAGCAATTTGAGAGTTATTGGTCACGTACATTGTAATTTCGAGCCGCTGTCAAGTGACGAGGACAAAATCCGAGCTGCCTCTCCCCGTCCTACCTCACAGAACTTCTCTACCCTGCAGAGTGAGTGAGTGAATATTAACGTCGCACTGTTCAGCTACACGAGGGCTTTTGGCGACGGACCACATCATTTTGAACCATGGGCAAGTGACGTAGACGACACCTGAGCTGTCACCCCCTCTCCTAACAACCACAAAACACCAACGGGAGGATGTTTGAGCTCTCGACAGATTTAACATGCATCGCTGCCCTACACGATGGGTCTTTAGTGGTACTAAGCTCGAACTCATGAAATGCCTGCCATGATCCGATACCTTGACCACTGGGCTTCCGCATCCCTCCTCCATCCTGCCAACGTGAAGACCGAGTTACGATCGATTTAATCTGCGTCCACCCTTCTACACGACGGGTCCTCAGTTGCATTAGAACCCGAGCTCGCGACTCGGCAACATAAGCCACGAGTTCGTGATCATGATTTCCAGGCTTCAGCAATCTGAAAAATTTAGTACTTGGCAAGTATGTGGAAAACTATTTCAAAATCCCAATCTTAAATTAAAGTTAATTACATTTTGTATGAAATAAAACGTATGAAATGAGATTTGAAACTTTAATAATGAAACTTGTGTATTGTAAGCAATCATTTCACTCCCATAAATGAATAATAATTGTAAGAAATTAATAAAAATGACGAGAAACCATTCTAATGTGCAAAAGCCTAATTATTTGCATTCCTTAAAGAGGACTCGGCGAGAGGGACGCATTTGGAGGATGTTTCGGGCATTAATACACGTTAGAGCATTCACATAAATATCGAATAAGCTGCTTCAGAAAGAAAAATCAAATTATTTCGCCTGTTTTGAAAAAGGAGTGCTCTATAGAAAAATCAACATTTTCTTTTTTTCGATCCAGTGAAGTTGTTATTTTTCCCCTTTTTCTAAAACTATCATTTGCTGCAAGATTGACAGATTTTTTCAGAGCTGTTTCTTATGGTGTTGCGGTTCATCCAGTGGCGTAAGTTTCTAAGTTAAAATTATGTATTTTATTTTTGTTTGCGGCTTCTTTTAAAACATGACATGTTACTATTTTTGCTACAAAAACACAAGAATGTTCCGATTAATGAGCGATTGCCAGACTTCTTCAATGCAGAGAACATACGTGAACCGGTGAATCTGAAGCCGACGCATGAGCTTATAATTGCCGCTCTATGGCGGCACATGACATCCACTGGAGAACCCAATCCCGTGCTATTACGGGAAGAGCTGATAATCAATATTTATTCCCCCCTTCATTCGCCAGGTGGGGAACGATTTGTGGCGGCTGGTATGGTGGGATTGGAATTGCAGTGACCGCTCTTTTCGCCCAAAGGGGCAGTGAGCGTTATCGTTTACTTTCAATGTAGGTGCATGTGTCATCTATACATTGCATACACTGAAAGGAATCATTCATTATGATTATAACTTAAGCAAAAGATTCTGTCGAATCCTTTTCTTATGTAAACACAGTCGCTACGATTGCAAAAAGCCTATTCTCCAGTGTAGCTGGCGTCAGTGTTCCATAACTATGTTTCTTTTAGGAAGCGTGTCTTAATGAAGGCGGTCATCCTAAAATGTTTTGGTGGTCGATCGCGATCGACTTAATGCTTATCTCTGCTTTACAGCATTCATAAAATGGAAGAAATTATTGGAGATTTCGTCAATTGTTTTTTGGATACGGAATTGAAATTTGGAGCTTGAAAGGAATCGTTGACTATAGTATTTAAAGACCTTATGGAAACCATTCAAATATTGTCACGTGAGTGAGGTATGAAAGAACTGTATCTAACATTAAGGCCAGCAAGTATTTTATTTTGCGATTGACCATGCTTCACAATTACTGTCTTGTGTTACGTTTCTTATTATAAACAAAAAGAAAATAATTATTCATATTTTCCTGGAATATTATTTGTGTTGTAGAATAGATTTTTTTTAAATAAAAGAAATATTTTTGTTTTATTTTTTAAAGTAATCATTATATAAGAAGAAAATATTTCTGCTTCGAATATGAATAAAAAACAATATAGATTTCTTCTACAGAATGATTCAGTTTCATATTTAGCAAAATTATTTCAATGCGTGGAAAATATTTACTAACAGATGTAATTAAAAAAAAAACAAGCAATATAAAAAAATTAAGTCCATTCCTACTTAGATCAACAAAGAAAAATTGTATTTTAGTTACTTTTTACGAAATAGTTAGAATTACAATATCAGTATATACAGTATATATGCATAGGACAGAATCCCACTAGTAAGTGACCACAAGAAAGCGATTTTCCATTTCCTTTCTACATAGGGTCTTGGAATATTTTTGTTCGTTACTATTAATCCCTTAATTTAATTGTTCTATTAAAATAGTATAGTAAAAAAAGGAATAGCATTCTCAGAAATTCAGCCATCCCAGGTGGGATTCGAACCTTTGTATTAGGTCCAACGCACTGTCCATTGTGCTACAGGGACACAACGAACGATTTTCCTTTCTATATGTGCTGTTGGGTTATTTTTGTTGCTATTTATTCGTTTTTTAATTTAATCAATGAATTAATATTTGAAAAAAAAACTTTTTTTATATATTAAGTGTCATCCACTACAAGTTAAAATTTTTTTATTTGAATTTGAATGAATAGAAAGTATATTTTATCAACGATTGAAAATTTGAATATCTATATACATAAAAGAATTTCTAAATTCGAGAAATTTCTAAAATTATTCAAGAAACACATAATTTAAGTGAACTTATCCCGTTCGCTTTAGTTTTTGATTTTAACATCTCTAAAGCCTCTTTATTTGATTATTAATACGGGGCGGGGGAGTAATAACAAACTAGCAGCATCTATTTAATAATGATTAAAACTGTTAATATTTTTTCTTATTTTGCGTAAAAATACTGTTCGGATTAATGGCTCTTACTTTCAAACATCCGACAAATATTTTCATATATAGTTTTTTTCTCTCTCTCTTACATATTCCTAAGTAAACCATGGATTATCTTAAAGTTTTAAGAAGCCCTGCAGTTTCAAGTGCAAATTGTTCTGTGCTGCATTCGATGTTTCGAAAAGTTTCTTGTTCTTTATGCGTGTTCTTGAATTACGGCGGATTGCCATTCCAACAAAAACATTTTAAAATGAATAGGTCGTATGTCGGATATATATTTTTCATCAATATTTTCCATTCATACTGGTTATAAGACATAAAATACAAAAGTTAAACCAATATATGATTACAGTTTGTAAGATAAAAAATGTGTAAAATAAATTCATTGAGCGTACTTGTATGAATTCTAAGAGTTTTTTTAATCTCAAATGTATTTATCTTTCTCAACTTGCTCTGTTGAATTTTTTTGTGCTCATAAGTTGATAAAAAGATTGTGTGTATATGTATGGTCTTTCATTGAAAAATTTCACATTGTTAAAACTTTGTTTTCCTTTTAGATATAAACGATAGCTGATTTAAAAGATATAAACTTTGAACATATTGATAAAAGACTTCTTTTTTACTTATCTTTACCGTTTTAATTAGAAGTTAGTCAATTTTACTCGTTTCTTTTTAAAGAATATTAAGTAAAAGAACTATTTTATACTGCGTGATTTTCTACATTTAGTTTTTTATACAACTTTTTTGAAGTTTTAAAATTAACTGTAAAATGTATAGCAATGCCAAAAAAAAACTCAGTTAAATGAGAAATTTTAAAAAAAAGTTTTAAAATCAATGTAAGGTGAGGAAACTATTTGGAATCATAATTTCTGCACAATCATGTAATTGAAAAATGATGACGGAATAAAACAAGATTGAAGAAAGAATTAAAAAAGTAAAAAAAATATTAATCAAAGGACACTAATTTCAGTTTTGGAAATCTAAAATTTGTTACGGTAGATTAAATAACATTAAAGTAATAATACGTATTTAAATGTACACATTTTGAAATGGAATATTTTCTTTTTGTGACGTCTTTTAATTTTACCGCTTGAAATAAAACGTATTCTTATTCACAAATTTCTTGTAGAAACTGCTAATAAAAAATTTTACAAAACCCTATAGAATTCAGAAAAAAAAGCTTTGCATTTGTCCTCTTAGAAAGTATTTTATATGTAAATTAATTTAACTCCTTCCCTTTACTTATGCTAATTAACTTCTGTTTCTTAATAAATCAGTTTTTCATGTCTTCATCTCGACTTATTTAACGACATTTCCAACATATAGAGGTTCCATTCAATGCTGATAAGAGAAAACCAAAAAATACAGGACCAAAAATACAATTAGTACTTACAGAATTTTGTACTTAATAATATGCTCCGAGGTTAAAAAGTAACAAAAATAACAAAATGAAAATTTAACTATGAAAAAAAATTCTAATTTTTGCAAAAGCAAGATGAATAAAACGTGACTTTTGGCGAAAAGTCAAAAAAAAATTTTGCTTTACATTTACTATCTTGGAATTCAATAAACGAGACAGATAACTCTTTAATTGCAAATATTTTAATATGGAAGAAATAAAATAATAAAATCTCGAAACAGTAACGAGTCTTGGAATTCATTTTCTATATATAAATTCGTAGTATTACATCTCATTTATATAAGAAACATTAAAAATTTTCTGCCATTCTGGTAATCCTGCAGCAAATCAGGGTGATCTGTATTCAGGCAACTATCTGGACATTACCAAAGTTGTGTATAAGACCGAAGGTTCTACATAATAACTTTCCATTTCCATAAACACGACAGCCAATTATTAAAATTTTTCATATGAGACAGCTAAAAACGAAACATATAATTCGAAAAACATCTATATTATATTTGTTTTATTATCACATAGATAATCGTTTGCTATAGTATTAGTGTAAAAATTTGCAAAATAATTCTCTCATGAAATTTATAAAGCAAAATATATAAATATCTAAATATTAAAAAATTTTCAGTTCTTGAGGATTGTACATGTTTTGATATTAGAATATTAATATTGCAATATTTATAAACTGCATAAACTACTTGTTAATGACTTAGTTTTTCACTATCTATTGAAATTTATGTAATGAACAATTTTATTAGTACAGATCGTGGACAAAATTATTGGTTCAAGAAATGCATAGTAAAATTTTTTTGGATTTAAATTAACATTAGCAAATTCAACACGTCCACAGGGCTTATCGTACTTGAAAGTAAAGGAAATGCAACCGATTCAAAACATGTCCGTTCGTTCACGAGTGTGTGTGCGTAGCTTAATTCTTATAAATACGTTATCGTATAAACTTTGCATAATTTACATGATAGATAATTCATAGCGCAAATAAATTACACCAATATTAATTTATCTTTAAAATGTTGTAAAATATGTGATTGAAATCCCCAGTTCTATTTTAAAATTTGTTTTGGATACACCACCATTAATTCAGAATCAAATTTTATCCTCTTAAACATGTTTTTAAGTAAATTTAAAGTTTTAAAATCCATATTACAAACAATTTCGCAAGGCAACAGTGGAAGTAAAAAACTAAGACTTTAATGATTCGTGCAACAGTTGTTTTCTACTTCACAGTACCGTTATTCTGTCTTCTAAATTGTAATAAATAATCTTTTTAAGCAATGGATTAAAAAATTTACTTAAGAATACAATATATTGTATATTAATGTTCGTTTTATATTTCGACAATTACATAAATATTTAAATATCGTTATAGAAACATTTAAATGAATTACAATGTATTAAGAGAGAACTCTAAAATATTTCTGAGTTCTACTAAACGTTAATGTTAACGCCAATTGCTATGTATTTATACGTCTTTTGGAATTCCAAACAAAATTACAGTTATTTTACTGAAATTATTCGTTACTTTTTTTCAATCAGGTAAATGACCGCTTTACACATATTGAACTTAACACAAATGTCTTTTAGAAAAGGAGAGATTATCTTCAATAATAACCTTAAATGTGCACAAGTTTAACATCAAAACTATACAATATTTTAAATTTTTTTCAATCAGGTAAATGACCGCTTTACACATATTGAACTTAACACAAATGTCTTTTAGAAAAGGAGAGATTATCTTCAATAATAACCTTAAATGAGCACAAGTTTAACATCAAAACTATACAATATTTTAAATTTTTTCAATCAGGTAAATGACCGCTTTACACATATTGAACTTAACACAAATGTCTTTTAGAAAAGGAGAGATTATCTTCAATAATAACCTTAAATGTGCACAAGTTTAACATCAAAACTATACAATATTTTAATTTTTTTTTTTCAATCAGGTAAATGACCGCTTTACACATATTGAACTTAACACAAATGTCTTTTAGAAAAGGAGAGATTATCTTCAATAATAACATTAAATGTACACAAGTTTAACATCAAAACTATGCAATATTTTAAATTTATCAACGAAAAGAACTTCATTTTATACCTTTTTTGACACAAGATAATTATATGAATTTAAGCATAAATTCATTAAATTTTATAGCATTTGAAATCATCATTCGTGCATTCAAATATTTTTCTTAATTTTCACTTAGCTCTTAAATTATCAAAACAAGGAAGAAAATGACTATGTCTAAAATTTCTTACCTTCTTTTTTCTTTAGAATGCAGAACAATTTTAGTTCATATTTTGAGTGCAACTCAAAATGTGAGTTTTTGAGGCTCTATTTGCAAAATTTCTTCTATTGCCGACACTTTTGAATTGTTATAATTGAAAGTATCAATTCTCATACACAACGTGTGAATTTCTTTTTTTTTTGCCAAAACATTTACCGTTCAGAAATTATGAAATGTAACTCATGTGCAACAGTTTATTGCAAACATGTACTTGATCAATTCCTTTTTTCTCAAAAAAAAAAAGAATTTGCACTTTTTTACTTCAAAAATGTTTCCAAGGAATTCCAAGTTCCAAAGAATAATTTCTGCAAATGGTTTTCCAATTCGAACTCAAGTATTTAAAAATCAATTTTTTGAAAAAAAAAAAGAATAAAAATTCTTACATTTAAAATCGAATTTTTTTTTCTCCTCTTCAGCAGACGATTTTTTTATCCCTCCAATTTTTCCCGCGTCACATGTTCTTCTCAACCTTCTTTGATATCCGAATCCACATAAGAAGGACTGTGTGAACGCCAGTCGAAGCCGAGCATCAATTGGGCTGAGTTGTCATATCCGCTGTGTGGTTGGTGAACAGAGGAAGCGCTTAGTTGGTGGACGTTGCAAGTGACGTCACATACCTCCCCTACTGCCACCTTTTTCCGAGCTCGGGATTTCTCCTCCTTACTGCGGAGAAGGAAGTTTTCGAGGAGACATTAAAAAAGGGGACTTTCTCCGCAAGCCATTAGAAAGGGAAAACACACTGAAAATGGCGTTTCTTTAATTCTTACGATTTATGCAAATCGTAAATCTGGGTGAGGTTTATGCCACGACGCAATGAAGGTGAGCAAACAGGTGTTGGAAGCTCCAAATGTTTCGATTTTACTGAT